CCCCCCCCCCCCCCACCGATATTGATATTAGCCCAAAAAGGTGCAATTGAAGAATGTTAACGCAATATTACCTCCTAAAGTTGTCCCAATAGTTATTAGCACGATTTCCAGGTGGCACTTGGTTATTGAGCTGTTGACCATTGGCTGAAACGATTGATGGTGGTGCTGGCGAGGTACTGGGTAAAGATACAAGAGTTGGAGGTAGAGTTGCTGGGTCTAAGGAACTGAAGTGTTGCTGCTGTTGCTGCGCTGCTGCTCGGCTGAGATTCGAGTGCTCCTCCGAGAGATCGAAATTATTACTCGTACGTGACTGTGGTTGTCGGAGTTGCGCCTGTAAAATTTTTCTATGTATCGTTTTCTTGCTGCAAGTATGATTTTATTTTTTATTTTTACCCAATACCTGAAGCTGTGATATCGCAGCTTTCATAGATTGCATTTCTCGCTGCTGATTCCACACGAGTTGACAGCATTGCTGAATTGTGGTGCTCATCATTTGTAACTGCAGAGCTTGGGAACCGAGCAACAACTGCCTGTAATACTCCGCTGAGGCAACACTTGTGCCTAAAAAAAAAAAAAAAAATATTTAAATCACTTTAAGTTTTGCCTATCTTTAAAGTACTTCAACGATGTAAAATACCTTGAGGTGGTTGATTCATGAAATTTGGCATCTCCCAGTAATTTCCGGCTATCGGTGGTTGCGAGCCCATGTCTATTATATTGTCCGGAGCTACTGAAATGTGTGATTTATCTTTTGTAAAAAGTGAATCATTAAAAAATAACAACTCTCGAGACTAAAACTCACCAGTGTTAGTAGGCGGAGGCCAAAGATTTGCTGGCGTGCTCATGTGGCTGTGCTGAGAATTCGAGTCCCTCCACTGACTCTGATCCTACAAAAATCATGACAATCATCATCGTCATCACATAATTAACGTTTAATTAGATAAAATCAATAACCCACCTTCCTCATGAAATCCTCGAGCTTATTTTGAGTCAGACGCAGGTCGCTATTACTAGCCACGTGATTGCTCTGCTTTTTTTCAATCAGCATCGGCGGTGACGTCGAGCTCGTCACAGACGGCGTGGGATTCGACGAAGTCTGCTTTAATCTTCTAAGCTCAGCTCGTGCCGTTTGCAGTAGTTGCTGTTGTTCCTTCAATTCTCTCGTAACAGCTTGGATTTGTTGCACAGTCAGAGGATCGGAACTCAACTTTGGCCTGACCCCGTCGAATTCGTTGTACGAATTGGTGTCAATGTTCACGTCGCTCTCGATCACCTCCTCGTTGATCGCAACGATATCGTCATCGCGCTCGGGCTCCAAGACGCTCGGCTCGTTGTCGGCTTCTCGCCTCTGAATGGCATCGTTCATGAGGGCCTTCAAATGCTTCAGTTGAGCTTTCATTGCTTCCAACTCACTTAATTTATCGCGTTGGCCTGTGCTTCTAGAACCCTCTGAGCTCTAAAAAAAAAAAAAAAAGTTTTGCTTTAGCACACAAACTTTGACGCAACTCATTCGTTTGAATACTCACGCAACTGGCACGCTCCGATACCTCGACAGCCTGCAACTCCTGCACCAAATGATCCATGTGTCTCTTTTTGTTTTCCAACTGTTGCAGTTTATCCCTGAGAGCCTCAGTCTCACGCTCGAGCTGCTTAACGTTGCCGGGATTAACCGTGTTGCTGGGCTCGCGGACTCCGTTCTCGGGTACGACCTCGTTTTCCTCGTCACTTAACAATCGCTGGGCCTCGCGGGCTTCGTTCAGCCTTTCTCGCACGCTCAGCTGCATGCCCACCAGCTGAGCTTGATGCTCTTGTAGCTGAGCCAGCTTGCGTTGGGATTCCTCGATTTTTTTCACCAACTCTTGCTCGCGGCTCCGTTCGCCGTTTTCCAAGTCACCGTTCTGTGGATGAACACGATTTGGATGATCAACTTTATTTTTTTTTTTTTGATGGTTTACAAAATGTCAGGCTTGTTATTGTTGTGAAAAGTTAATTTTTTTTTAATTATTTTGAGAGAAGTAATTGAGGTTTGATTTACTGTGGTGGTGCAGAGGATTTTATAATCAATCTGTTTTCAAAAAAGGTAGTTTTTCGTTATAACTCGATGGATTTGTGCGTCAACACTAAATGAACGGGGAGCGTTACATTCTATTGCGATGAATTATTGTTCAAATGATCAACTTTCTAAATTCTAACAGTGTCAGTTTAAAAAACTTTTGGAATTCCATGCCATTTTAAGAAATACTCTTTTTTTTCAAAATTTAATCGACATTGTGCGTTAGTACGATTTATCAATTAAAGTACCGAAGTCCATGCAATACTTGTTAGTGCTCACACTAAAACAGTAAATAAACGATTCGATTCATTGTAACAACCTCATTCAACCCCCAATACTTTTCACAATTCTCCATTAGTTTCGTGAGTTTCTGTTCGCTGTCGTAAAGATCTTCCACCATCCTACCCAATTTCTCATGTTGGGCTTCGGCTCGCTATACGATTTATAAATACATTTTACATACACATTTAGTTCAAAAGTCATTGGGAACGAATTGAGAAAAATTAAAAAAAAAAAAAGCACAAATAAAATAGTTTTATAAAAATAACATACCGGATCTGTTGACTGGCTGAGAGAGTCCATCATGGTTGAAGTGACTTTGATGTACTCTCTGATTTGATTCAGTCGTCCCTCCACTTGACCTCGCTCCGGCTACAACGAGAAATTGATAATGGACGTATGGATAAAGATTACCAAAAATAATTGTACTTTATAAAAAGAGGCCTGCACATTTATAGATATTTACTTCAAAACGCGCAACATGAACAAATCAGGTATTTCACATATTTCAATTAGTCGTTAAATATGGATTTCTAACTATAATCCTGTAATGACGCGGTAAAAGCGGTATCCTGAGTGATGTTTATTTTTAACACGACACTTGCTTGCGCGACGAGACGTAAATTTACTTATAAGTACCATTTTGTCCGTGTTGGTGGGCTTCATTGAAAGATTTGGCGGTGACTGGCCACGAGAGTCCACAGGAGGTGTCATTTTCAGCCACGATTCTTCACGCCCGTATTGATTCGGATACAATCTGCTGTGACTGTTGTACGGACCTATGAAACATTATAACTTTGAATGAAATGTTCAGTACAATATATACAATAAATCAAGCGAAATTAAAAAGTTTTCAATTAATGAACGTACTTGGCAAATCAAATTATTGTACGTTTGAATTACAAAGCTATATTGAAGGCCAATATTTATTTTTCATCCAGTCTTATTATTTTTCCATACATGCAAAGATTGCAGAGTCGATATTTCTTGAAAAAACTCACCCAAATGATCTGGAAATTCGTAGGACGACGTAGACGAGTGGGTAGATCTGGCGTTGCTGTTTTTGTAAGCAGCTGATGAGTTTCTGGAGTTGCCAGTTGTCCCGGTCCACTGCTGTTCGCTCACCGGATGCCAGTCGAACTGAAACTTATAATCAACCGCGAGAGAAAATCAAGACGACGTCAGTTATCTCTATAATTACGTTGCGCCCGCGAGAGAGTTAAAAAAAGAGAAGCTTCGTCCACCAGAAACTTCACAGAGAGCCGAATATTGTATAGGTGCAGAAGCAGCAGCATTGGTTTTATTCTTAGACTCTAAAAATAGAGCAGCCCAAGTGTGAGTGCTAACGCGATACCTTTGAGCTTCTCTGGGATGATATTACCTTTGCGTCAGTCTATGACTACGTGAGCTCTGCTCAAAAGCTCACTTGGTGCATGTATTTTTTAATTTTTTTTTATTTTTCAGTAAAAAAGAAAAATAGTGCCGACAGTTTTGACGAGGAATACTTCTTAATTTTTTTATCAATTCTGAGATTTACGTTTAAAAAAAAACATGAAAAAAAAACAAAAAAATGTTACTCACCAAGTTATTGGAATGTTGGGCAGGTGCTCCGTACACCCTGGAATACGTGGTATTTTGGTTAGCTGCAGATCTGTCTCCCTCCCTGTTTCTGTTACTGGGTCTATTGCTTTTGGGCAATGTACCGGTATTGCGAGGATGATCATTGACGCCAGGAGACATGATTATTTCTCTTTTATCAGTCTTGTTTTTTCGTAAGATTTTTCTTAATCAGTTGGCTGAAACAGACACAAAATTTGAGTTTAACTTCATGTGCATGCATTTAGCAAAGTTATGTTAAGCCTGCACACAACAGATTATTGTCTTGAACGACAACTCAGTCAAGGCACGCTTTTATACACGTGTGTGCAAATGACATTAGCACAAATGTCAACAGAACTCTTAGCATATAGTTTATAAAACAAAGTTCTACTCTAATTAAATTAAAGCGTGTACACGTCCCAAGTAGGCTGTAGCAAAGAGTTTGATCAATAAATCCTTGCAACATTAGAGCTAACTGTACCTTCACGCGAGAAAAAAAAAGTCAAGCAAATTCTTTTTTGTTTTCATCACAAAGAAACCTGCAAACGTCACTTTTTTCTTCCCTCCCCAACCAACGAATTCAATACAATCGCTCTCACCCTGCACTGGCTTTTGCTCCAAAACTCCGTTGTTATCGCCTGCACATTTTTATTTGTCTCTACTGAATTCCTTGCAAAACGACAGGTCCTCTCGCGTCGTTCGAATAAAAGGAAACAACAATTGTAAACATACAACTGACACAATTGTACGTTTTGTGCATCAACGACGGATCCCGTACACAACAACCTTTGCAGCCATTTTTAAATGCCGTCATCAACAACACAACAATAACACACTCTCGAACGTTTCCTATCAGTTTATCAGCGCAAAAAACGGGAATAAGTAAATATTAACATTCTGATTATTTGTAAGAAAGGCTAGTAAGCACTCCAAAACATTAAGTAATTGGCACTTCCGTGGTTATTAGTGTGCACATATTATGCACACATGTGCCGCCGTCGTGGTATGTGTACAATTGGCTTCTCCCCTCCCCCAAACGCTGAGCTTCGAGTTTTTGCAGTCAGATGGCGCGCAGCAAAAATGGCGGGAAATTCGAAATAATCCAAAAAAGTGGAGGCGCCAATGTCGAAGTGGATCGCGGCGCTTCCGCATCGAATTTGGCGCTGTTTACATTTGGTATGGAGCGCGAACGTTTATTGGGTTTCCCCCGTTTTCGAGCTATCGGGTAACGGCGGTAACGCGCGATTTTTTTCCATCTCGTTGCTGAGCCGAGAGAAAAAAAAAAAAACAAAATGAAAACAAAACAAATAGAACAAACGGCAATTAGCTAAATGCTGTTTTGACAGTGTGTCGGGTTTATTGTCCGTTCTGAGATATACACATGTGTATTTTACAGAGAATATTCGCTTATACTGTGTCAGAAAAAAAATAATAAAAGTTATGAAGAAATTCCAAACAAATCTACAAGTTGGAAAAAAAGGACAAAATAATTATATTGTTTTAAGAGTAAATTAAATCATGGTTAGAACAGTAAAGATTGCCACGTTGGAATAGTAAACCTTAGAAGGATCGGTTAGTATAAATTATACTATTCAAACCATAATTTTAACTGTCAAAACAACAATTTTATTCTTTTTTGCCAACTTGCGTATCCGATTCTCTGTGGGGAATGGTAAATTTTTCTCTGGAATTTCTCTATAATTTTTGTTGTTTCTTTCTCAGCGCATCATTACACATCACGAGCTAAATTCACACAACCTTAAGTTAGTATTGCAATAAAAGCTGATCCAAACCGCACCATCAATACATTATATTATGTTTCTACTATATCATTTATATTCACCATTTACCATATAATTCGCACTATGTGTGTATTTGTTGTAAACACAAGCCATCGGTCGATTTCTGGGAATAACAATAATTTATCGCACCTCAAGCGGCTCCTGTCATATACATACGTGATATACACACAAAATCGAGCTTGCGATAAGAAAATAAAATTGGATAAGCTGTACAATAGTACGGATAGTGTGATATTAAATTTCAAGCTCCCCCAGTGGTCTCTCTCTCTCTCTCTGTGCGGGAACCAAAATCTCCTTTTTTTTAAAAAAGTTGCACGCTCTCAGGATATTATATTTAAAAAAAACATATAATAACAAAGCCGGTAAGTCTATGTGTGTTCAACGTCTCTGATACTTATTTTTATATGTTTCATTATATAATCTATATACACGTAGTAGGGAAGAATACAAAAAAAAAAAATCCTCTTGGTCCATCAGATTGAAACCTGTTGTAGTTGCACGATCGACGTCCACAAGGGCGCTTGTATTCATTTTTTATCTTTAACAAAAAAAAAAAAACTACCATAGTCACCTGTACATTTTTTGATAATCCAGACCTAATGGTATTGATCGTAAAAAAAAAAAAAAAAAAATGTCATTTTTTTTATTCTTCCCTATTACACTCTGCACATGGTGTACATTTTTATAACGAGGTATATTTTACCATGGAGTGTTGTATTAACGTCCCCCAAAAAACATGTCACGACGAAAAACTCGCGAGGGAGGATCATCAAGCAACAGTCGTCGGGCCAAACGTTACCAACTCATGCCCTGGTTGAGCGCCAGTTCGGCGGACGACGCGGACCGGCGTCCAGTTTTCGCGCTCATTCTACAACGTATGATGAGCGGCTGCGAGATGATCGACTACGGGGTTAAATCGTCGTCCACGTCACCGGGAGCCAAAAACTCCACGGTGAATTTCCATCTGCCAAGCGACGCGGAATCCAAGATTAATCAGCTGGCTGATTGCAATGGTAAAAGTGTGTTGTTCTTTCTCTTGTTGTGATTTCAATGTTGACATATATGATATGTGTTTGTGTGTGTGTGTGTGTGTGTGTATACAGGAAACGCGTTGGTCGTCCCCGACTCGTTGCTCTTCTCCGCGGCAGGCAACGAGCAGCCAAACGACGGTAGTTTACTAATCGCCGAGGCGGGCACCATCGGCAACTACAATTACTCGAGAGTGGAATCTGCTCATTTGTTGGTCGACGACAATAACAATGCGCTTAAGCCACAACGCAACTGGTGGGAAGACGAAAATGACGACGAGAACCTCAAAATTGTCCAGCAGGTTTGCATCGACGATTACAACAACAACAATAACGAGAACGACTGCAGCAGGAGTTTCGTCGAGTTGATACCTACTGGCGCGTCGTTGTCTTCGTCCCTCGCAGCTGCTTTTCAGGGACGTTACACCGGTGGTCAAGAGTTGCTGGTACCATTTACGAACGATGGGGATACTGGTGGCTACGTTGAGCCGCAGAACGCGCGGGTGACGAGCGAGATCGACCACCTGACGTCTTCTTCTTTCGTGCAGCCTGTCGTCGATGGTAAAAAAAAGAAGGTATGCGTTTCGTACACTCTGTTCGTCAACGTAATTGTAAAATAACATGTGTTTTTAAAAACAAAGCGCAAGAACAGCATGAGCGAGAAAAGCGTGAGCTGCAGTAGGTGTAACAAGCGGTTCCGGAAGGAGAGCCACCTGAAGACGCACTTTGTCGTCCACACGACGGCGGACAACGGGGCGGCCTCGGCTATCTGCCGGTGCGGTCTCTGCGGCAAGGGCTTCTGCCACCGGGGAGCACTGGCTCTTCACATGCGCGCACACGCGCCCAAGGCCAGGATGACTCTTGCGTAGGAGGCTTTTGTCATACCGCACGTTGTGATTTTTTTAACGAAGGAAATTATGTATGATCGAGAAAATCTATATATATTTTTTTAAACACCAAGTTGTTTTTCGAGCGGTTTTAAGAGTTTTATATTTCGCCCAAAAGGATCAACACGATGATTATTTTTAACACGACGTTTCTTTAATCATTGTTCTTTTAGAGCTTTAAGTTATGTTTTTTTTTTCCCCCTGAGGATAATAATAACATTTGTAAACTAAAATGATTAGTTTTATATAAAAGGTTGTTTCATTGAATCCTCAATAAATTGAAATCAAATAATACAATGCCACGTGTGTTCGTTGTCAATTTATTTAATTGTGTACGTTTTTCCTTAAAATAAAACATTGCAACAACAAATGAAGACCAAAAAAACTCGCGGCTCGTGAGTCGTTTCGAATTACCCGCTGCGAGACGCGAGATCGATCCGCCAGAGAGTGCGCTTATATTCACCCGGGCGGCGTCTGCTCTCTCTTTTTGTCATTTTCCTCACCTCACAGCAGTCCCAACTTGTTAATTTCAACAAGTACAGATCATTAAAAATCAAAATAATCCAACGAAAAATATAATCCTTGTGTCTGGTGAGTACAAATTTATTTTGGTTACTGTATGCTATATATTATACCTATACACAATATGATTCTCAATTTCATGGGTTCCATGTTAGGATCATGGAGGAAGAAAAAAAGCATGTGCTCGACTGGTTTCGTAGAATCGGAGGCACCACCCCCAACCAGGTGTCGCCGCAAAAACCCTTTAAGAAAACGAGCTTCCACAAGTGCGTCGACAGCTCCGTCAAGTACCGCAACATGGGCAACAAGGTGTTCAGGGAGCCCAGACACGACGCCAAGGTTTACACTTCATTCGAAAAAAAAAACACATTCCAATACAGTTTGAAAAACGAAATGACAAACAAAGTTATTGTTTTACATTAATGATTCTAGTCGCACATGCAAATCTGGAGGTTTTACTCTTACAGCATAGCCCATGCTCCTCCGGGCTCCGATCATCTGGCTCTTGGCTATGCAAACAGATCTGCCCTTTTGCTGCACCTTAGAAAATTCGAGGAGTGCATCAGAGATGTCGATAGGACCTTGAAAATAACCAAGTGTTGCGAACTCAAGGCTAAGCTGCTGTGCAGAAAGACCGAGTGTCTGGTTGCCTTGCAAGACGGTGGCTAGCTACATTGAGCTTGAAATCATATTCCACTGGGTGGTGTTGAGTCATTGTTTTTTTTTTTTTTTTTTTTTTTTTTACAGGAAAGCAGAGAAGTGCGTTTGAGAAAGCCAAGTATTGGTTCAACAAAGTTGAAGAGGCCAGAGATATGAAGTTACTGGTGGACAAGATGAAGAAGGCAGAAAAATTGTTGGAAGTTAACGAGGGAGATTTCGACGTTAGGAGGAAGGAAAAGTCTGACATTGATTGTAAAAACGATGCGATGAGTATTAGTTACAACGAGAAGTATGGCCGGCATTTGATTGCCAAGCGCGACATTCGTCCCGGAGAATTCGTCTGCGTGGACAAGTTTTATGTGGCGAGCGCCAACGGCAACAAAAATTTTGCTTACTGCCATCATTGTCTGGCCGTCTCTTGGGCAACTGTCTCGTGCGATCGTTGTGCTCACGCAATGTATTGCAGCGAAACGTGCAAACAAGAGGCTTGGGACAAATATCATGACATCGAGTGCACGTTGAACATGGGTGTTTACTCTTATGAAAATAACATCATACAGATGAGCATTAGAGCTTTGATTATGGGTTACAGGGAAGTCGGCAATATGAAGGGCTTTAAGAAAATGGTAGACGACGCGTTAAAATCCACAGGTGAGGAATAATTGATTAAAGCGATTGCTATTATTTAGCCACAATATTATTTTAGATGAGGAAACTAAAAGTTTTTCGGACAACGGGACGTTTGACGGCAATAGTTTCAAATGCTTCCTTGGTTTGAGTCACTTTAAAGAATTGGATGACGATAAAATTCGAATGGCCATGAGTGCGTTGCTCACATTGCACAACAACAAGAGCGAGCGTGGAAGAGTATTTGTTCTCAATGCATCCAAGAGATTCATAGATCAGAAAAATGCCATTTTCATCTCTTCCCTACTTCTACGACTCATTTCGATATTTCTGGTCAATAGTTTTAATGTTAGTATGAGGACAGTACTTGACACAAAAGATTTTTTTAAATCAAACATTGGTACTTATACTTATTTGTTTGGATAGGTCAGGGAAGATTCAGTTGAATGTAGAAAGAAACGGCAATCGGTTGACTGCATTCTCAAAGTCTGTTGCTCGAGGGGACTGAGCTGTTCTTTTCTTCCAAGTTTTTTTAATCACAGCTGCGATTACAGCGTAAGCAGATTCTACACTAATGATGGAAAAGTCGTGTATTATGCTGTCCAACCTATAAAAAAGGGTGCACAGGTAAAGAAATTGGATGATGATTAATTTGTTGGATCGTCATTTGTTTTATTACACTTTTCATTAATCCTTTTAGATTTTTACATCTTATTACTGTAACTACATAACAGAGGCTCTTCCAGCCAGAAGACATTTTTTACGTCTAATGTTCGAAGTGAATTGCGATTGTCTTGCGTGCAAAAAAAAATGGCCCCATTCCGAAGTCATGATGTCTAAGGTTTGTCCAGATAAAATATAATCCACAATGCTTGTATTTCTGAGTGTGCATTACTGTAAAAAAAAAATCCCCTTTTTTTTTATTTAGGTGCTTCAATCGCCTCCTAGTCAAGGTTTATCAATGTTGTTTGATAACGTAGAATTTCTCGCCAACTTTGGAAAAAGAGATCACAGATATAGTCAAAAAAAGATTGAAAATATAGCAAAAAAGGTAGAAGTTGCCCTACAGTCGGACATTAAGCCTTCATTTACCATTCAATCATTTATTCACGTACTTGTAAGAATGATGGATGTACGTTATGGTACTATATTAAGAATACCTAACAAATGTAGGAAAGAATAATAATCAAGACAAATCAAAAAACGATTTTCTATGTTGACTGCTACTGTTAAAATTATTTTTTTGCAGCCAATCAAAATTGACATAGATCACGTGAGTAAAACTATTTATGTACAAGAAAAAAGTATGCGTATTTTGTAGCTTGAACAAAACAAAAATGTGACAATTTGGTACGAATAACAATATTCTGATCATATAAAATAAGCTAAGTTGAATTGTTATTTTTGTAACATATTGGATTCTGATCATAAAAGGAAACTTGATTTATTTACGTTTATGACACTGTAATGACAATCATCCTTTCGACAATTATAATTATTATTATTATTACAAAACAAGTAACCATTTATTATTTTACTAAAATTGTTAAAGAGATTTTGCTGTATCAATAAAATTATAAACTTGTGCGGAAATCAAAGTCTCTTTTTTTTCCTATTCTTTTTTTGAAAAGAAAAAAAAAGTTGTAGTATGCTCTCGGCGTATTCTACTTAAAAAACATAACCGAGAGCTTCGATTGCTTAGTGGTAGCGTGTTAACCTCCAGAGATACTTGAGGGGTCGTGGGTTCGAATACCATCGGAAATTATCTTGGTTTTTTCTCGGTCTTCTCAAGTCACATACATACAATGTAAGCTTTCATTTTATTGAAGATGTTAATCTTTCTTCATGCAAGTAATTAGTAACTGAACTCAACTAAACTTTATCATTACATGATTTAAGACAACACTTAGTATTAGTGAAATTTCTTACGTAAGGAGAATTAGTGGGTTTTTATAACGAATTGCTTTAAAATTCCTGACACAAGCATTCTAAATAATATAGTTATCACTGCATGCTCGTACTTTCATCTTTAAACGATCAGTGACACAAAAAGTTTTGTCAAAGTTTACTCTATGAGTCAAGATCGTAAGTACCAGTCACTAATTTTATCAATCAAACGTACTAACAACTACGGTTAATAATAACGTGTGATAGTTTCCTGACGTACATTAAAATCTTTTGCCAATTTGATATTCTACAATTTAATGGAATATACTTTGGAGCAACGATTCTCTAATCGAACGCGTGCTAACAGCAAGAAAGTATTAATTTACAAACTTTAAAAAAAAGTGTATATTCCATAAAATCATTCGATTGTCTACACAGACTTTAGCACAGCTACTTTATGATTTTTTAAATACTTTTATAAGAAAAAAAAAAAAAAATTTCATTCGCCGCTATTTACAGTACATTATTTTTAAAATTATTTTCTTGCTGGCAAGTAAGTGCAATAAATTATAGTAAATTTAGCTGTGAATTTTTTTTTTCCCTATGAAATTTTAATGCATTCTTTTTAATGGAAGTCAATTTATTTAATTGTGTACGTTTTTCCTTAAAATAAAACATTGCAACAACAAATGAAGACCAAAAAAACTCGCGGCTCGTGAGTCGTTTCGAATTACCCGCTGCGAGACGCGAGATCGATCCGCCAGAGAGTGCGCTTATATTCACCCGGGCGGCGTCTGCTCTCTCTTTTTGTCATTTTCCTCACCTCACAGCAGTCCCAACTTGTTAATTTCAACAAGTACAGATCATTAAAAATCAAAATAATCCAACGAAAAATATAATCCTTGTGTCTGGTGAGTACAAATTTATTTTGGTTACTGTATGCTATATATTATACCTATACACAATATGATTCTCAATTTCATGGGTTCCATGTTAGGATCATGGAGGAAGAAAAAAAGCATGTGCTCGACTGGTTTCGTAGAATCGGAGGCACCACCCCCAACCAGGTGTCGCCGCAAAAACCCTTTAAGAAAACGAGCTTCCACAAGTGCGTCGACAGCTCCGTCAAGTACCGCAACATGGGCAACAAGGTGTTCAGGGAGCCCAGACACGACGCCAAGGTTTACACTTCATTCGAAAAAAAAAACACATTCCAATACAGTTTGAAAAACGAAATGACAAACAAAGTTATTGTTTTACATTAATGATTCTAGTCGCACATGCAAATCTGGAGGTTTTACTCTTACAGCATAGCCCATGCTCCTCCGGGCTCCGATCATCTGGCTCTTGGCTATGCAAACAGATCTGCCCTTTTGCTGCACCTTAGAAAATTCGAGGAGTGCATCAGAGATGTCGATAGGACCTTGAAAATAACCAAGTGTTGCGAACTCAAGGCTAAGCTGCTGTGCAGAAAGACCGAGTGTCTGGTTGCCTTGCAAGACGGTGGCTAGCTACATTGAGCTTGAAATCATATTCCACTGGGTGGTGTTGAGTCATTGTTTTTTTTTTTTTTTTTTTTTTTTTTTTTTNAAAAAAAAAAAATTGATCGACTCGTCAAATAAACATCAATTTTTGAGATTTGAAAATTGAGAAAAAACAATAGGGTTTTAACGAGTCTTTTTTTTACTTGGGGTTGTTTGATATTTTTAGCAAAATATGCGCTTTAATAACGAAACGATTGGCGAAAAAATAAAAATTTTTTTGGTTGCCTCATTTCTACCATTAATTGAAAGAGCTTTTAAAATAGTTGGACGGAGCGGGCATGCGGGCAAACATATTTTATCAGTGGGAGTCACATGTGCCCAGATCGAGATACTTATAGTTTAACGGTGTCTCCTGCAAAAATACTCATGATGAAAGACAGTAGGTATACTAGATGAACTTCTCATAAAGTTTACTCTTAATTTTGTTTATAGGTGCTTTCACAGGTTTTGTTCTACGTGTTATTTGAAGCGCCTCAAACATTGTTGTTACAAAAAAAAGCTCAAGCAAAAAAATTGATATCCTAGACTTTACATTTTACTTAAAAAGTAAGTAAGAAACATCAAATTATCTCATTATTTTACATATAAATTTTCATTGTAAGTAGAAAAATCAGAATATGCTCAAAAAAATCGTTATTTTAAAAGGTTTAAAAACTAACTTTGGAATTTACCTGTTAGGAAATATATTAGTATGCTTTTAGCAACTTATTTGCGACTTATCTCGTATATTTTACAAAGATAAAAGTTGTCCGATAAAGATTTTCACGATTATTTCATATAAAATAGATTGTCAATAATTTTTCCAATAAGTTTCATGTGCTTTAACATATCCAATAAGAACTCATTTGCGAAGTTCAATAAATTTCACATGACAACATATTCACATACAACGAGTAACAATAATCCGATTTGAATTTGTATTTTTGAGTATACCAGCTTCAAAAGCTTCATACATAAGCATTGTGGACGTACAGATCTAATTGATCCTTAGGCCGTGTTCAGATGCAACGCCAATAGCAATCTGCAATCCGTGTAAATAAAAAAAGTATCGGCGTGGCGTCTGAACGTAGCCTTTTAGCTCCTAATACCCAATGTTAAAGATATGTTGAAGTGACTAGTGGCGCCAGCCTTCTCCTCCAACCTCATGCACCTAGCGGATATAAGGCATACTATATCGTACATCTGTTATGCATATTATTTGTCCTAAGAGCATACATACAATCGTGGCTGACATACTTACTCGGCTTACATAAAGAGTTTCATTCTATATTCTCAGCCATAGACCGAAAGACACTCGCGTCTTTCTTTACTGATAAGAGAGTTTAATACATAAACTTTTAGCTACGATCTACACTTTGTTTTACTTTGAGGAAAACGGCAAAATATTAGTTTTTTTATTAAAATGGCTAAAAGGGATTTAGAAACAATATGTAGAGAAGAAGATTTTGGAACTCCAGTTGCACATCCAAACCTGTCGGGTCATCAAACTGTGTCTTTCAGCGACACGTCTACAGAGGCGAGACAGTTGGACCTTACAAAGATACCCGTCGGTTTTTCTCCCTTTCCACCCATCAAAAATAAGGTAAAGGTAAGCAATTGTGAACAAACATATTTTTTTTGTTCCTAAAAATTCATGATAGTGGTGTATTTGTAGAATGTCTATAATAGGATGTTAGATTGTACACAATTTTCCCTGGATTCAATTACCGCCATCGTAAGTATGAAAGTTCTTTGTCTTATTTTTTTTCTACTTTCACTTTTTTAATATTTGATCTCTCTCGTGTTGAACGCTTAAATTACATTTTTAAACGTACATGCCGATTAGTGTTATATTCTGCTTCGTCAACAATATCGATCAGACCTGGGTATGAATACAACTTTCTACCTGTTAAAGGTCTCAAGATCTTACTTTTACCATACTTAAGACAAAATTTTGATTGTCGTCAATTTAATTGTTCTGTGATTGGTTAAGACTATTCTTGCGCACGTCAATTAAAAAAAAAGATTAAATAATCTTTATTTAAAATTTTTGCGTTTGATAACTGTCAAAATTATGCATTTCATATTTGTATTTTATTTAGATGTTTTAACAAAATCGTAAAAGTAAATATTTGTTTTTAACTGTAAGGGAGTAGATCGTGAATCGCGCAAGGACGGAGCCCCTAGCACCATTTAACCTATAAAAATGCAGCTATTTTAATGTAAAATAATTAATAAATTTAGTAATATGTAAAATTTTTAGGTCCGTAATAACATTATTTCAGTAACGGGCACGAAGACAGGTCAGCAAGATGAGGACGGAAACGTCTTATTCGATACTACCACTGACATTCCATGTAAACTGCCAGAAGACTGTGATATAAAAAAAGTTAAGGTATGGCTCGGCGAAGACAAGATCTTGTATATATCTGTTCCTCTGAAACATCAGCATGTCGTCGATGAATAGAATGTAATCATCATTAAAAATATCAGCTTATTCACTGTCACATCTAACGAAAAAAAATGTATAAAGAAAAAGAAGAAATGATGTCACTACATTACCTCACCTTTTTTATACGAATATTTAACCAAAGCCATTTAAAATATTATAGTTTAAAGCACATTAATACAAAGATATGAATCATAGTTTCAACGTTTTATTGTATAAATTAGACAATACGCTTATACAGTTGTCGATCCGCTTATCCTAAGTACAACTATTCCATCTTACACTTAGTAGAGGTACTTACAGTTCACGATACTACTGTAAAAATATCTATGATACAANAAATATATTAAATGATCGAATATAAAAAATGATCAGCTTGTAAACACATGCAGAAACACCCACTATTTTGAAACTAATTTAATCATGTTTGCAGTATTTGGTAGTACTTAAAATACGAAAGTAAAATTTTTGTTGGAGATAATAGGTAACTTAATTTTTACAATATTTAAGCTTTAAGAGATAAACATATTTTCAGAAGAATTGGAAGTTCTAGTTTTCAGTAAGACTTTGAAGTCATCTCTTATTAAATGATTTTTGACAACTGTTTCACATTCAAAGAGAATTTATTTGACTGGTGAGATTTAACTCATTTGTTTGTCAAAATCTTGTACAGTACCTTGAATTACTTTGAATAATTGATGTCACGGAAAAAAAATATCTAGTTGCTTTACTTCGAGTTTTGGAATGTGTTTATTGAAGTGGGTACAATTCCTACGGTTACAAGATGTATACAGATATCATTACTTGTCATAATTTCGTGTTAGCACAGAAATCGGACATTTTCCGAGTTTTTGTTGCAAAGAAGTAATTTCTACCTAGCATATGTAAAACACAATTTTATTTTAATTTGCTTTTTACCAAAATGCTTATAGGCAAGTCCGAGCAAATCTTACGTACACATATATTTATTATGTTAAATATAAAATGCTTACAGATAAAAAGTAAAAGTAATGACTTTGTCTCGTAACTGATTGTACTGTACATCTTACTATTTGACTATAATCGTTTGAGACTACATTAAGGAAATTAAAAACACATTAATTCAAAGTACCAAATACCTTTCATATGCTCCACTGGCATAAATTAGTGTATGAGTGTAAAAGTTATATTTATTGCCATGAATACCTGGTTACACTTGGTTTGTTGTTCAATATTAAACAATACAAATAAATTAATTTATAAATAAATAAACTTCGTTAAGATCCCTTTAAGCCCGTAAATTAAAATATAAGTTTGTATGGTGTTAATTTTTAGTAATCCTCTAGAAACCCATCTATGTGATATATTTTTTGTGGCATTAAAAATTTTTTCTCTAAAAAAAGGAAGTAAGGATAAAAGTATCAAAACGTTAAATCAATTTCAAACAACCAACTGCAAATAGAGTGTGATAAGTTAATTTTAGATCCAAATCACTATGTCTTATTTTCGAATCGATTTTATTCTTTGTATTCTATTTTATTTTATCAATGCAGAAACGTTTCATTAAACAAAAATATTTTTTTTACTATGTAGGAGCTTTGTTGCATTTGAAAGAAGCGTTGATTGAAAAAAAGCAGTTTCTCCTACTTGCAACAAAACGATCTAATCACTGGCAGTGAGAATGTGTTAGTAAAAAGTCAGTCAGTAAATTGACCTAATCTCTGAAATGTGTTCTTCAAATAATAATAAAAAATAATTTCCTTTAAAGTGGTAACTAATCTCTTTTTTCATGACG